CTGGTGTTTTCAAAGCCAAAACCTTTATTTACAAGAAACTTCCAATTACTTCTATTTTTTTTTTTAAACTCTCTGATCACTTCACCTCTGTAGCAATATTCTCATTCTCCATGTATTTCTGTGAATGTTTCTCTCCCCTCTTCTTGTTCCCCCCACTTCCTGCCTCTTTAGCTCATCTTCCTCTGTCCAACCTTTAAATTTTGGTGCCTGACATTTTGGCCCTTTACTCTTTCTCCCTGCCTTGATTTCAGCAAACACCTCTTGCTGATAGTCTCAAATAAATGTGTCTCTAGCCAACGGCATTTCTGTGACCATCATATTATATATTTGATTATCAAATAAGCATCTCTGCCCACATAACACTAAGGCTCATTTCTCTACCCATCTCATTTTCCATATTTTTACTCTCTATGGTTTTAGTTGACTCCACCAGTATTGCCATTGTCTAGGCACTGTGCTTAGAAATCTAGGAGTCACTCTTTCCCATCACACATATTCCATCAAAAACAAAATTCTAGCAGTTTGATTTATTAATATTTATTAAGGATTTTTTAAAAAAAATCTGATTTATAGAATTTTGTTTACTGTCAAACCTCAACTTGAATCAGCCATCAGTTCAGTTCAGTTCAGTACAATCAGTCATACATATACATATATTGCCTCCCTTTTGAACCTCCCTTCCATCTCCCTCCCCATCCCACCCCAGAATTAAAGATTCTTAAATCCATGTTTTCTATCTATTTTTACCTTCTCCACCCCAGCCAGACCTTTTAGTGTTTTTTCTAGATGGTGCAGCAGCTCCCTGACTCTTCTCTGTGATTCTAGTTATGTCTTTCTCTACTCTGGCCATAGATTTGGCCATGCTGTTGTCTTTCATTCTTCAGTGGGTTCTCCCCCATTAGAAAGATGTCTTCATTTCAGTTATGGTAACTGAAACCATTCTTGATCCAGCCTTTCTCTGACCCATCTGTTTCTCTAGACATGACCCTCTTGTCCCTTCTGACCACATAAGTTATAGTTTATGATCACAGATGCTTCTGGTTCTCTTGGTGTGTATGTGCACCTGAGCAGAAAAGCATACACACGCCACCACCACCACTGCCAAATCCCTACCACCATCATCACCACACCACCATTCTCAGCACCACCATCATCATCACCATCTTCACCACCACCACAACCATCACCATCATCACCACACCACCATCACCATCATCACCACACCACCATCCTCACCATCCTTACCACCACCATCACCATCATCACCACACCACCATTCTCACCACCACCACCATTCTCAGCACCACCACCATCCTCACCACCATCATCATTCTGTTTTCTAGATTCTGTGGCCTAGAGTCATCTTTTTCTTTTCCTTGTCAATAGCCAAGATATTTTTTTTTTGCTCACCGAACTAGTACAAGTGTCATCTACTCCAAGAAGCAAAAGATTTTGCTTAGGGTTTCTTCACTCTGCTCCCATATACCACCTACATATTTCTTTTATTTTTCATGTTGTATGTTAATTACCTGTTTTGCATAAGTCTTATCCTGCTGAATTCTGAGTTCCCTGAAGTCAGCAGTCACATTATTCACTTTCAAAATAATCGATTTCTAATATAGCCTAGCATACATATACTGGGTGCCCCAACCTTTATTGAATGAATGAATTTAATAAATGAGTAAGTTAATTCCAATATCTACTAACTCATAGTTACTTGTATTTGGCCATGTGTTTATCTAATTTAACTGAAACCATTTATACATGTATATATGGTGTCCTTGATATAAAACACATCTAATCCATATGAAGTTTTGACATGCAATCTATATGAATTCCTCAAAGAATTTAAAACAGATAAGCAGAGTTCAAATCTTCAAGAGGAAAGAAATCATCAGTCTCTTGAAGAATATGCAAAAGCATGCAAGATATAAGCCCTAATAATTCTTCATAGATTATTCTTAATTTCTTCTCATCCTTAATTTTCTCACATCTCAATTTGTTCAAATCTACTAAACTTTCTTAAAATATTCTCTGGGGTACTTCTCATGATACCCACTCCTCATTTCCTTTTTATTTAGAGTGTTACCTGGCAAGAGAGAGTCCTTCCTGTTTCGTAAGATGGGGAAAGGAAACAACAGAGCAATAGACTCCTAGCTTCATTTAACAGGGAAAGGCAGGCGGTGTATGGACCGCTGCATGCTGACGATAGCAGTCTGAGCATGTGCATATGTATGTTGGAGTATGACATTACTCTTTTTGGACTGTTGGTCAATTACTATTTTATATTGCTATGCAGAAACATCTTTATGTGGAGTACCCTTCCATCGCCGGTGATCAAACCCCCTCTTTTAAAACAGACAAACATGTTGCCCTTTCAACCATAGCACTAATGCAGGTGTGTTGAAAGCAGTCCTTTTGATTTGTTGAAAGGTAACATCTTGGACTCAGTACTCTGCTTTCTCTCTTTGTAGTTTACAGTCAGAGTGTAATACTTCGTGCTTTCTACATCAGCAACAGCGATCTGCTGAAGCTCTAAGGAAAACGTCTCTCAAACAGTTTAGTTGCAAAGAGAGTATGGCATTCATGAGCTTTGGCAGGAAATACACTCTTGAGCCATGTTCAGTTTTGAAACTTGAAAAATCCACTGCTTGGAGAAGTCAGCCACAAAGGATCCTGAGCTGAGTCTATTGTTAGAAGAGGCACCAACAATGCCCAGAGCTCGGGGGTGTGGGTGGGGAGGGAGTGGGGGGGCTCTGAGAGCTTGTGTGCATCCCTGCTGGGGGCTTGGGCAGGGCTCACTTAGAGAAGACCTCACCATGGCTATCTGTAAGCTCAGTAAGAGGCAAAGCAGAAAATCTGCCGCTTGGGAAAAGTGTCTTTACATAACCAGAGTTCGGCTTTGTGTTAGCTTACTTAGATGACATTTTCACAAATTATCAAAGATAACCTTATTTTACTCATGCACTCATTGAATCACCGTATTTCTATAACTGGTGTGTGTGCTTAGTCGCTCAGTGGTGTCCTACTCTTTGCCACCCCATGGACTGTAGCCCAACAGCGTTCTCTGTCCATGGGGATTCTCCAGGCAAGAACACTGGAGTGGGTTGCCATGCCCTCCTCCAGGGGATCTTCCCAACCCACGGATCAAACCCAGGTCTCTCGTATTGCAAGAGCATTCTTTACCGTGTGAGCCACCGAGGAATCACAGTAGCTGGTTTAAAACCTTCTGTCTCAGTAGCAATCGTAGACTTTGAAGGAATGCCGGACCTCATCAGTAGTTGCTTCTCAGTAATTCCATATGGTGTTAAACTGCTCCACGACAGCTGGTCAAAGCCTTTCATTTTCATATCCAACTCCTTTTATGATATGTGACACTGGCCCAGCATACTAAGACTAAGGGGAGTGTTCCTGTCTGTTATGATGCAGGCTGCCAGAGATTCTGCACAGAGTAAAGAAGAACCCTGTGATACTAGGGTGCTGCCCACAGGTCAGAGACCCTCCCACCGAAGCCAGAAACTTTCTCTGAAGATCTTGTCCAAAGTCTTCCTATGATAGCCCTTGTGAGGAAGGCTGTCCTCAAAGTGAATAGGCTTCCCAGGTGGCTGAGCAGTAAAGAATCTGCCTGTCAACGCAGGAGATGCAGGAGATGTGCGTTCAAACCCTAGGTCGAGAAGATACCCTGGAGTAGGAAATAGTAACCCATTCAAGTATTCTTACCTGGAAAATTCCATGAACAGAGAAGCCTAGTGGGCTACAGTCCATGGGATCCTAAAGAGATACAACTGAGTGATTGAATGTGCACACACATCCTAACAGACCTGAGTCACTTTATTGAGCAACTGTTAGTTTCTTATAAAAAATTGCTGCTTTTGGAGCACTGGACAGCATGAATTCTGGGGCCCCTGTCTCATGACACCAGACGTTTTGTAGCTCTTTTTTTTTCCCACTGAAGCCATTGTTGGCCAATATACCTCCTTCTCCCTTACCTCTTTCTTTCTCCAGGAGATCTTTTTTCTTTCTCTGTCCCTTGAGCTGAATTGGAGCTACCATGTCACCATGATAGAATTCCCTAGGTCCAAGCTTTGGGAGGAGGAGGTTAGGGAATCTGTCTGAGATCCTCCTTCCTGGAAGGCTCCTCAATTTGTGAAAATTTCTTCTTTTCCATCCAAATTCCTCAGAGCAAGAGGAATGCAGATTCCATATGTTAGGCTGAAAGTTCTGTCACATCCTTTTCCTAGAGAGGGTTAACTCTGGGGCTACTCAGGGGTCCAAGGTGAGTGAACCTTGAACCCCTCTAGAGAACTGGCAGTTGCTTCTGCCTGAGGGGAGGAAATATCTTAAACCATTTAAATATATGGCACCCAGCTATGTGTAAAAATGTCTTATGATGCTTCAAAAAAATAAAAATTGATTAGGTCTAAATAATTCCTTTACACTGGAGGCTAGTACTATGGTCTGTTGAGAAGCATTGGAGACTCTTCTTCACAGGGGTCTAAAAGTGGGACAGGATCTCATCAGTCTGGGATAGTTTTAGTAGGGTTCTGTTAGAGGGCTAGTGAATGGACAAAATGCAGTTTATCAAGGACCTTCTAAAGAAAGTGAGTGCATGCATGCTCAGTTGTTTCCAACTCTTTGCGACCCCATGAGGCTCCTCTGTAAAGGGGATTATCCCGGCAAGATACTGGAGCAGGTTGCCATTTCCAAACTGAACTTTAATTGGTAACACTTCAGTTCTGACTCAGAAGATTTTGGAAAGTGAGCTCTCGGGTTTTAGATTCTGCTGCCTTATTTGTTAGCAGCAAATATTGGCATATAAACGAATCCTTCATAAGTTTGTTGGGGCAGTTTAAACTCCTCCACCACTGTAATTACTCCACAATTTATATGAGATTCTGATCACCCCTAAAATCAGTGAATAGCAAGATACTCTCCTGCACTGTAAGAGTTTATTTTTAGGCTACTATAGAAAGCTTATTGTCTGTTTTTTTCCCCTGCAGCCCCCACCTCAGATATACGACAAACAGCTGGATGAAAGAGAGCACACCATTGAAGAATGGAAAGGTGATTCTGCTGCTTAATTAAGTTTGCTTTTTCTTTTATTTAAACTCAGAAAATATTTTTAAGTCTTTTCCTTTTAAAATGCTTTAGTAACAGATGGTTTTCTAAGGGCTATCCTCTTAGACCATTTTCAAAACTCCTTAACTTCATCTGTCTTTTCATACTAATAGCACTATTACACTTACTCAAGAATGAAAGGAATTAATTACTGACACATTAAAAAAATAGTACTGATTGTCAAAATATTTATCATGGTGAAAGTTAAGCTTTAATTCAAAATATCAGAATTAAACATTCTAAGTTGGTGCATAAAATTATCACATTAAATGAATAATGTTATGCCTGAGATGGTTTTAGGCATTATAAAATAAAAGAGTGAATATCTGAATTCACTCACTCAATATATAGGACTTGAGAATTTAAATGAAAATTTATGCATCCAAGCAGCTTCTCATTTAAAGTAAGAAAACAGTGAGTGAATATATTAATTATCTTTTTTTTTCAACAAAACTTTTCCAAACACATACTATATGGTCAAGATCATACTCAGGATGAAAAAAGCAGAGAAGAATTGCTAAACTAATATAAATAACCACAGAGTAGAATAAATATGAAAAAAACCAAATGCAGTTTGTAACAAATGATTAGCTCAAAATGAGGAGGAAGAGAAAGGGTACATCAGAAGGAAAGAAATGTTTGAGCTACCTTGAAAGAATTAGTAATTCTAAGTTGGGAAAATAAAAAATAGAGGAAAATACTAGAATGAAAATATAAGAGGAAACCAAAGAGTAAGAATGAGCAAAATGTGCTATAAAGATAGTTAGGAGAATCCACTGTTCAAGAGATCATATTGGAGAGTATGGAAAAATAAGCTCATATAAACAGTAGATCAAATTTTAAAAATGATGAGCATGATAGACAGAAAAAGACTTGATCTAAATAAGGATCAGAATGTACTCAAGTGTTCATGATTAGGTAAGTCATAGGGTGTAAATATCACTCAAGGAGGATATACTCAATTCTGAAAAACTGGAGAAATAAACCTGTAAAGGATGGTGATTGTGTTAATTGTAAGCCATTGCAAAGCAGGAATGAATTGCACAGAGTAATTTTTAGCTAAAAGGGATAAAGTAAAAAGAAATGAATATATACACATTTTTATCTATAGCAGTGAAAAAGCCAGAAATGGATGCCAGTTTGGAAATGAGGGTAATAATTTTTTTTAATGTTGGATTTTAGGCAAGTTTAGTTTTACAAATCCAAAATTTTAGTCTGGAAAAAAGATGAAGTAAGAGTTGGAAATGGATAGAAAGTAATAATTTCAAGTCACGAGAATATGTGCATCTCTTAGGGAGAGAACATAAAAGAGAAATGGATGTTCAAAACTAAGCCATTAAAATCCATAAGAGATAAAGTCAAATGCATCAGAAAATCCCCAAAGAATTCAGAAAACAAGTAATGTGTATTCTACACACATTGATTTGGTCAAATGCATTGTTAAGCACCTACGTTTGCCAGGCTGTGTCCTTTTGCAAGAAAATAGGGCTTCCTAGGTGGCTCAGTGGTGAGGAATCTACCTGCCAATGCAGGGGACTCAGGTTCAATTCCTGGGTTGGAAAGATTCCTTAGAGGAGGAAAGGGCAATCCGCTTCAGTACTCTTGCCTGGAAAATTCCATGGACAGAGGAGCCTGGCAGGCTACAGTTCATGGGGTCGCAAGGAGTTGGACATGACTGAGCACATAACAATAGAAGAGTAAAAAATTCCACTTGATTTGTAATTGACTCAGTCTCATCAAAATGTTATTATTTGTTATTAATGACTTTTTCTTTGGGTTAAGGAGAAAACTGATTTTTATAACACTGGTAACTGTTTCTTACAGAACTTATCTATAAGGAAGTAATGAACTCGGAAGAAAAGACGAAGAATGGCGTTGTGAAAGGACAGCCTTCTCCTTCAGGTACTCACTCTCAATGAATAACCAATAAACTAGTCCTTGCATATTTTTCTTGGCCTTAAGAAGAGATTGCAGTCAATAATATTGCTTATCAAGCATATGACGGAGAAAGCACTGGCAACCCACTCCAGTACTCTTGCCTGGAAAATCCCATGGATGGAGGAGTCTGGTAGGCTGCAATCCATGGGGTCACTAAGAGTCGGACACGACTGAACAACTTCACCTTCACTTTTCACTTTCATGCATTGGAGAAGGAAATGGCAACCCACTCCAGTGTTCTTGCCCGGAGAATCCCAGGGACGGGGGAGCCTGGTGGGCTGCCGTCTATGGGGTTGCACAGAGTCGGACAGGACTGAAGCGACTTAGCAGCAGCAGCAGCAAGCATATGAACCAGTATCACCTGTTTCCATCTAATGATTTCCGTCTCATTACTTTTGATGGTTAGTGTGGCATTTATTCTGCCTATAATGATTTAGCATGAGTTCTTTCAGAACTTTAAAATGACAAGGAATCTTGAAGAAATATTAGCATAAGCTGATTAAAGGGCGGCTGCTCCTCATCAAAATTCAGAGCCATAATGCCCTCTTGACCACCAAATCAGTGTGGAGTTCAGGAAACCCTCTAGCCAAACCTTTTCCTTCATTCACTCTAATGTTTACTCTTCCTAAGGTTGATGTGACAGTAGTTGAAGCCTGAACCACAATGGGGTCCAATCAAACTCAGAACAGAAAAATCTTTCCATTTGCAATCTACAAAATATAACACACATTGGTACATATACATGTGCTTTCCAGTGGTAAAGAACCTGCCTGCCAACACAGGAGACATAAGAGACACGGGTTCAATCCCTGGATCGGGAAGATCCCCTGGAGGAGGGCATGGCAACCCACTCCCTATTCTTGCCTGGAGAATCCCATTGACAGGAGAGCCTGGTGGGTCACAGTCCACAGGGTTACAAAAAGTTGGGCACAACTGAAGCAACTTAGCACACACACAGGTAATACACATATTTTACTGAGCTCACCAATGAACTTTAGAATGACTTGAGATAATTTACTTACACTTATTAATGCCAATGTATTTTTCCAAAGACCGATGTTCTGAATAGAAAGAGAATATAGAAATAGTTTTAGAAAATGTAATGACTTATCATCAGCTTTAAACAACACTCAGATCATGCTGACAAAACTGTAGGCTGCAAATTATTACCTTAGAGAAAAGTAGATTTGGTGTCCTACTTTTGATATATAATTTTTCCCATGCAATTTAAATCATTTCAGGAAACAAAATAGGGTGAGTGAATCAATTCCTCCTGCTGATATTACTTTTTAACAAGTTTGCAACCCACAACTACTATGATACCCAAACAGATGCTGTTCAGTTATGACATGTTTTTCTCACCTCTAGACTTAGGGAAGTCTCCAATTCTATGTCAAGTCTTTCCTTTCATCAAAAAAGGTTAAAGGAATCATCGGAATTGGTTGTTTGCCACCCTATTTATTCAACCCAGCCTCTATATTGATACAAATCTGTAGAAGCTGTTTCTTACTTACATGCCTGTTCTATCTGCTGCTGATTAAAGAGCCCAGAGATTGAATCCAACAGCAAGATAACACCTGCTAAAGCAGAAAGACCCCCTGACTTAATTATCATAACAGAATACTTTTTCCTGTAATCATTAAGAAGTTGAAATTCCAGAATCCAATGAAGGGTGGCATCATTTTAGGAAGTGTTGAAAGTGAAAGTGTTAGTTGCTCAGTTGTGTCCGACTCTTTGCAATCCTATGGACTGTAGGCCTCCAGGCCTCTTTATCCATGGAATTCTCCAGGCAAAAATACTGGAGTGGGTTGCCATTCTCTTCTCCAGGGGATCTTCCTGACCCAGGGATTTAACCCGTTTCTCCTGTATTGCAAGCAGATTCAGATTCTTTCTTTACCTCTAGCACCACCTAAGAAGCCCTATTTCAAGATGTGAAAGAGAAAGTGTTAGTCACTTAGTCATGTGCTACTGTTTGCAATCCCACGACTGTGTAGCCCTCTAGGCTTCTCTGTCCATGGAATTCTCCAGGCAAGAATACTGGAGTGGGTTGCCATTTCCTTCTCCAGGGGATTTTCCCAAGCCAGGGCTCAAACCTGGGTCTCCTGAATTGTAGGCAGATTCTTTACCACTGAGCCACCAGGGAAGCCCCATTTCAAGATGGGACAGGGCAAATTTCATAGTTTCTTCTATTCATCTTTTTTAAAAAAATTGTTTATTTCTGCATCAGGTCTTATTTGCAGCACGCAGGATCTTCATTGCCTCATGCAGAATCTTTTGTTGCTGCAGAAGAACCCTCTAGTTGTGCTACATGGACTCAGTAGCAGTGGCACGTGGGTTTAATTGCCCCGCGGCAATGTTCGATCTTAGTTCCCCAACCAGGGATCAAACCCCTACCCCCTGCATTGCAAGCCAGATTCTTAACCACTGGACCACCAGGGAAGTCCATTCATTTATCTCCTTTCTTTTTTGCAAAGAGCTCAGAATCATGCTATCCACTCCAGGATACCCCATCTCCTGCTTCTTTCCTCTACGTTCCCCTCAACCCCAGCCGGGTCTTCACAACAGCTAATCTGTGATGGCATAAAAATACAAAATTTGCTTTTCAATACTTTCACAACACTTCTACAAAAATCTTCTTATTCCCATGATTCCTTTAAGGCAAGCTGTACAGCTCAGGGAAGGCAGAATGGAATTAGCGATGGTACAAGTGAGATCAACGAGTCTTTAAAGAAATGGGATCAGTGGTCTGCCATAAGAAAGGCTTGCGTGTTTGGTAAAAGAACAAAGTTTGTATATAATCAAAGCGTAATTCTTTAATCACTAAAGCCATTTTTCTTATTGCAAAAAGCAAGTGAGTACATGCAAAGTTTCTTTTAGCTTCTTAATGAGGGAAATGACAGGATGACAAAGTTCAGTGAAGATATGAGAAATTAAGATTAGGTAGTCTATGGAAAAAGGAACACTGAGATAAGATTACCAAATTAAATCAAAACCTGCAAATGTCCTACATAGCAACCAAACCTATCTTTGTGTTTATCTTTTCTACTAGGCAGAAAAAGAAAAGAGTTTTACTTTATCAGTTTTCTACAAGTTTACAGTGTTATAAAACATCTGGATCCTAATCTATTGAGAATATTGTCAAAAAGTTATGTTCCACAAAACAGTCAGATGACCCTTAGGAGGGGGCCTATTAAAAAATGCTCAAGTATGATAGTCAAAGGTTATGTGCTCATTTTTTTTTACACTAATCCCAAGTGTTGGATCATTTTCTTAAACAGTATCTAAGGTTATTGACATAATTTCTACATGCTCTGAATAGATGAACCTGAGTCTTGGCCAAGTAATTATTTTTAAGTTTGTAGGAAATATATCTAAGGTGAATAAAACCGAATCCTAGTTTACAGAATAGTTTGTTATTTTTGGAATGACTGCGAAATAAATTCTTTCCACCAAATTATTAAAGGATGAGTATAGCCTAGTCATGAAGAAATTAGAATACTGGGCCAGGATGCGTGAGATGCTGCCAATTTACATTTCATTTGTTTAAAACCAAACACATCCTCTCCATTTAGATTCACCCACTCAGCAGTAAATTTTGACTCAACTTTCCCATTTCTATTAATGGCAACTCTGTTTTTCTCAGCCTCCCAGCCTGAAACCCGTAAATGACCTTTCATTCCATACCCACATTATGACTGACAGTCACTTTTTGCATCCTTAACATTTTGCTTGCTAGATGTCTTATATCTAGTTGCTACTGTCCCTTGATATTAACACCATTATGAATAAAGTTTTCTTGAAGTAATTTTTCATACTTCAGTCTTGACCTAAGCTGATCTTTGAAAACTATAGGTCGAGCAATAATTTTACTGATCAGTGCCTCCAATAGCTTTGCATCACTTATAGTTTAAGCCTAGTAACCTCTCACTGACACAGACAGCCCTCTGAAATACATTCCACATTTTCCACATTTTGATACTATACCCATCCTAGGGTCCTGCATAGTCACTGCCTTACTTGACTGGCTCCCTGTGTTTTGAAATGCTGCCCCTTCAACAGTGTTCTTTTATTACCACCTTGTCCCCAAATATTTTTCATAATCTGTTCCAAAAGACTTTCATATCTTCCCAAAGAATAAGATCTTTCTTTCCTATAGGTCCAACTAGTACTTGTATTTTACACATTGTCTTATTACCTTATTGATTATAAATTCATTGAGAAAAAGATTGTATATACTCATCTTTGTGTACCACACAGTACCAGAGTATTGTCCCGTACACATAATAGTAGCTTGTTAAATATTTATTAATTTGAAAATTGGTGCTCAGGTCTTTCCTCAACATGTTTCTTGGTGCTCTCCCAAAGAAAGAATTCAAGACAGGATTATAGTTTTGAAGCAGTATGCAATTCAGTATGTTCTTATGCTGGTTAATATTTATTCAGCTATTAATTATCACGAAGGTAAATGAGCTGAGTATCAAGTACACAAATTGTTGCTTCTGGCATTTGCTCATGCTTCAGATAAAGCTTTGCTCATGCTTTCAGCTGGTTTTTTGATTTATTCACTTTGGGAAATATATATTCCTGAATTTTTTCGCATGTCCATTTAGCTTAATATGCTAGCGATTAATCATAAAATATTCCCCTTAGGCTTTTTGTGCACACAAGAAGGCAAAAGTATTTTTTACCCATTCAAACTACCTGTAACAATACTAAATTATCTACCTTCTACACCTGCTCTAAACTATAGTGGACTGGTTTAAGCAGTTTATAGTTAAAATGGTTGTGGATTCAATCTCACTACATGATTTTAAAGGAAAATTTTCCCAGCTTGATTTTGAGAAATCATATGTGGGATACCTATTATGTGACATATTTGTGTTTGGTGTTTTTTATTCTTTTATTTATTTAGCTAGTTATTATGTATTTTTGGCTGCAGTGGGTCTTCACTGCTGCCCATGGGC